TATCTAACCAGATAGTTACTCTAGATGGCATTGCCTTGGCCTCCAGTTCTACTGTAAAGAACCTTGGAGTTATTTTTGACCAGGGTAAGTCCTTCAACTCACACATAAAGCAAGTCTGTACGACGGCCTTCTTTCTCTTGCTAATATTGTCAAAATCAGGAACATTCTGTCTCAAAGTGATGCTCAGAAACTGGTCCATGAATTTTTAACTTCTGGGGTTTGGGAGGCAGAGAACCTCTCTACTTTTGAGATTAGGCTTCAAACTTTCCTCTTTGATAAAGTTTATATTTAGAGCTGCTCAGGATCACCTGAACTGTCCATTAGTTATGCTGCTATAGGTTTAGACTGCTGAGGCACTTCTCATGATGCACTGGGCTCCTCTCCTCTCCTCTCCTCTCCTCTCCTCTCCTCTCCTCTCCTCTCCTCTCTCTTTCTTTTTACAGCACTATGACCTATCACGAACTCTGTCTCTCCTGAGGTCCAGTGCTTGTTCTTTCTGCAGGTGTCTGGATCTGGAGCTACACATCTCTCCGCTCTAATTCATCCCAAACGTGTTCTATCGGGTTGAAGTCAGGACTCTGTGCAGGCCAGTCAAGTTCTTCCACACCAGACTCTCTCATCCATGTCTTTATGGACCTTGGGGCATGGAATTGTCCAAAATCTCTTGGCATGCTGAAGCATTCAGAGTTCCTTTCACTGGACCTAAGGGGCCAAGCCCAGCTCCTGAAAAACAACCCCACACCATAATCCCCCCTCCACCAAACTTTACACTTGGCACAATACAGTCAGACAGGTACCGTTCTCCTGGCAGCTGCCAAACTCAGACTCGTCCATCAGATTGCCAGATGGAGACGCGTGATTTGTCACTCCGGAGAGCGTGTCTCTACCGCTCTAGAGTCCAATGGCGGCATACTTTACACCACTGCATCCGACACTTTGCATTGCACTTGGTGATTAATGGCCTGGATGCAGCTGCTCTACCATGGAAACCCATTATATGAAGCTTTCTACGAACTGTTCTTGAGCTAATCTGAAGGTCACATGAAGTTTGGAGGTCTGCAGCGATTGACTCTGCAGAAAGTTAGCGACCTCTGCGCACTATGTGCCTCAGCATCCGCTGACGTCGCTCTGTCAGTTTGCGTGGCCTACCACTTGTGGCTGAGTTGCTGTCGCTCCCAGTTGCCTCCATTTTGTTATACTACCACTGACAGTTGACTGTGGAATATTTAGGAGCGAGGAAATTTCACGACTGGACTTGTTGCACAGGTGGCATCCTATCACAGTACCACTCTGGATTTCACTGAGCTCCTGAGAGCGACCCATTCTTTCACAAATGTGTGTAGAAACAGTCTGCATGCCTTGGTGCTTGATATTTATACACCTGTGGCCATGGAAGTGATAGGAACACATGATTTCGATTATTTGGATGGGTGAGTGAATACTTTTGGCAATATAGTGTATGTGGTATGAGATGACACATGTTCTGAATTGGTGTCATATAAATAATGTTTTTTTTTAAGTAATTTTTTTTGACCTTTGTGCCTTTATTCAACAGTGCAGTGAGAGAGAGAGACAGGAAAGTGGGGGAGAAGAATGGAGGGAGGACGTGTGGGAAAGGGCCATGAGCGGGATTCGAACTCATAGACCTCCACATCTGGACTGCAGCCCTGTACATGGGACACCAGTTCAACCAAGTGAGCTATAGCGGTGCCCCAGTATAAATAAAATTTAATTGAAATTGAATTAAATAAGCAAACACAGCCTCTGAGTTTGATCCATCATTTGACCTGCAGCCTGTCCTTGTGGCACAACCCCTATCCTTATCCTGAGTCAGAGGATGACTTTGACCAACGAAAGCACTGACTGCATCTGTGTGCATCACAGATTGTATTGTCTGCTGGGACCTAGCAGTGTTCAGCTCCTTTGGTTTCCAGTTTTCTGCCTTTGCATCCATGAATTCCAGTATCCAACACATCTGCCTCTGATGTCCTGCCTTTGACACTGGCCTCCTGCTTCCATCTGTCTTCCCTCAGGTCACCCTTGGAGCAGTCCCACCAGTTTGCCCTGCCTTTAAATTGAACAGCTCCACTTTACTTTCCTGCCTCTGGACTGTCTACCTGGTGTTCTCTGCCTCCCAGTTGTCCAGCCTTGCCATCAGGTCCTCTGCTTGAGTCCTTGGACTTTTCTGCCTCTAGATGTTTGGTTCTGGTATATTTCGTATGAAAGTTTTGCCTCTTTCAGTTAACAGGTCGTCTGTTTTTGTTTGTATGTCTCTGCATATGTCCTCTGTCCTCTTTCCGCTTTATTCCCTACGTTTTACTTCTGAATTGATTCTGTCAGTTTGCCTTACTATATTTTTGTTGGACTTCATCACGTCAGACCTTAACTGTTTTCACCTGGATTCTCCAGCTGTCGTCAGCTTAAGTTGTCCCTCACTTGCTTTTGTTCCTCTGACATCTATACATTTTTATTAAAGGTCACCTTTTGTTCAACTTGCTTGTATGCACTGTGTTCTGTATTTGGATATGCCTGATTTACACTTAACACTACGAGTGCCCAAACATTCAGGTAACTAACGTCAAATGCCTTAACAGGACTGTTATGATCCAGCCCTCTAGGTTCAGCTGGGTGGAGCAAAACACCAGATGTTATTGGTTGGGTAGGGCAGTTTATTGCTTTGTGACAAAATTAAATGAAATAACAGTGTTAATACAAAGAAAACAGAGCTAGCAGGTTTTGTTAAATCAAAAACAAAATAAAACCAAACGAAGGCTAACAGAGTTATGAAACTAGCTAAACAAAACAAAACAGAACTAAACTGAACTAAACAACTGAACTCCTTAGCCAAATTCAAACACAATAGCAACACCCATAACCAACAAAAGAAATTAAACAAACAAGTGCCTCAAAACACATACCAACCAGAGGCAATAAGGAACTTCTTCAAAAAGTTGAACAGCTGCTAATTTAAGTTACAGTCTTCACCAAGACACAGGTAACTTCCACACTAAGTTAACAGCTGCCAACTGAAGTCACAAAGAACACAAAAGACAAAGGCAGCAGAGGCACCTGAGGCCAACTGTTTACATTAAATCCCAGTCGCCCTGACTGTGAGGTTTATTGTGGATTGATAGCCAGGTGTGGTGATTGCTGCAGTCTTGTTGGAGGAGGAAACCAGGTTGTGGACCAATCAGACAAGTTGGAAGGCAGGGAGAGCAGGGGCTGGAGTGCAGGTCCGGGGCTCCAGGCTAATCAGCAGAAATGACTCACAGCTTTCTGGAGCAAGCTCTCAAGCCAGCCACAGCTGGGCATACACAAGCTATCTCCCTACACAAAGGCTGCAAAGGTTCACAACAGCAAGATGGCACACAGGCACCGGGGGCTGTAACAGGGACCTACTTATGATACCTAAGACTGGACCTAGTAACATTTATGTAATGCAAATCTGAACTGCCTTGACATTAATGGATAGCCATGCCAAAACAACATACTTCCAGGATTTTTCCACATTTCTGCAACACAACCGATCCAAAAACATCCCACAGAGCCCATAAACCATAGTTTGTATACCAGAAGTCACAAAACACCTTCAATGAATGTTATCCATTTCCTCCTTCACTTTGCTCTATAATTTCACATCCATTACAAACAGAAATGTTCCTGAAACTCAGAAATATGAACGTAATCCGGGTTTGAAAAAACATTAGCTGGGGCTGAAGTTTATATTGTTGTTTCCAGTTGTTTGTACAAGTCTTTCCTCTGATCTTACTGAATTCTTGCAGCATCAAACAGAATCCATATGAGCATCTCAAACGCAACAGTTGCACAAACATCTTGGACAGAATATTATGTGTCTAGGAAATCATAAATGAATAAGGCTATTATTTTTTTTTTTAACCATTTGAGAAAAGGGACCTGTGCCTTAATGACAGAATTCCATCACTTTAACAGATTAATGAACCCGCAGTGTAACACATCCTGTGTCTGATAATGGCTACAGACCACAAACAATGGAAACACAGGTGTTAGACATGATGTAGCCTAAGTGTTGCACTTGGTCATTTCATATAGATGTGACATTTCATGAAATTACCTGTTTATGTCATTTAAATAGGCATTTGCTGCAGCACACTAAACATGCCCCACTTGCAATGTGTGCCTATGCACATGCTAAGATAACGACCAGGCTGTAAAGTGTAATGTTGTTCATGTGGCATTTGCAACATGTACACACAAATGCACACGCTTTAGTCATAGCAGTTGCACAGTGAAGGTATTGTGCGTTTGTTGGCTGAATCGTCTGACACCTACATATCACATAAGACAATAAGGTTAAAACATCGTATAGTCTGCTTGTGAAATCTGTCTGAGGAGCAACATGAGCTTTGTTGCAGTATCTTCAGTTTTGGTGTGTCTGCAGTTATCAGGGAACAATACCAGTTAAAAGATCTGTTAATAGTTATACTGACAATCACAACAGTTACATTATACAACTTACACCTGTCATTATAATTCCAGTATCTGGAATTTATCTAAATATGTCACAGGCATGAAAGAATAATATTTCTGAAGCCGTTTTGGCAATTGCATGTTATAATAGGAGAAAGTGGAGACCACATGTGTACTACATAGCCATAGTAGACCCTCACAGTAGGCTATATTATATCAAAAAGTCAAAAACAGAACACCAGTTAAATGGCAGTTTTTGGTGCGCACTATTTCTCTCCTAACCTGAATGAGGGTAAATAAAAGCCCTGTTGGTGCAGTCTCACCCCCTCCCCTGTCGGTCCCCGTCTCTTCCTCCCATCGCCTGAAAACGTCACGCCTTCTGTTTGGGTATTGTAATGTCGTCTCGCGACATTTCCTTCCCTAAAAAAAAAGAAAAGAAACGCGATCCATAAGATATCGCGAGGCTTCCCTCCCCCCCCAGCTGTAGCCCACCCTTCAGCGAGGCCGTCTGCAGTGTGTATAATTGCAGCGAGGGAAGCTGTCGGAGTCTAGGAGGAGCTGCGGCAAGGTCGACAACAGCATCCTGCCCTGAACGACAGAAACAACCAGAGGTGGACGGCATTTAGTGCTGTGGTTCCGTACTACAGAAGGTAAAAGGAGAATTTTGGACTTATTGTCGCGGTTGAAGAAGGAGGAAAGTGCTTTAAAGTTTCCAGCCCGTAGCCGCATGTTCTGAGGAAGCTAACGAGCTATCCTCAACTACTGCCGCTCTCCGCACGGCTGCCCTGCGCCTCCTCTGACCGGGCGGAGCAGCGTGTTCTTCCCGTTAAATAGGAAGACAGTTATTACCGGGCGACTCCCGAGCTTCCACACTTTGTCTAGTTAGATTTGTGGGCTATAAACAGTTTTTCTCCAACACGGTTTCTACGTTCATTAGTGTTTTTGTGCCATGTCAGCACCATCCTCCGCGCCTTCCGCCCCGGCAGAGAACGCCGCGACGGAACATGATTTTCTAGTCCCAGATGCGGGGCAGAGGCCGCCCGGTCCAACGCCCAGCCAGAGCCGGTTCCAGGTGGACCTTGTTGCTGAGGCTGCGGGCGCCAGCGATGATAAGTCCCCGAGCTCCGACGCTTCCGCCACTGCCACGGAGGGTCCGAGTACTGACCCAGGGGTCGGCAGCGAGGAAGCCAAAGGCCGGTTTCGGGTGGTGAACTTTGCCGATCCGAGCGGAGCGGGGAGCCCTGCATCTCCAGAGGCAGCGCCGGCTGAGGGATTGCAGAACGGGGACACGGTGATGAGCGAGACCAGCTTGCATTCATCTACAGGGGGCCAGCATCACTATCACTATGACACCCACACCAACACCTATTACCTGAGGACTTTTGGTCACAACACCATCGATGCCGTGCCCAACATCGATTTCTATCGGCAGACAGCAGCGCCGCTGGGGGAGAAACTCATCAGACCCACCCTGTCGGAGCTGCATGACGAGCTGGACAAGGTAAGGCCCCCACATGGCTGCGAGAACGGAGTGAGTTAGGCATGACATCGCTGTGTAGATGTGATTTCATTGTGTAGAAATGAGCTTCGTTTTAATAACGTGGAGCGGACATCATTAGTTCCAGAGGACTGTCACATCAGGTGCTCACATCCTCAGTTGCTGCTCAGACACTACAGACCCTCTAATGTCATTCTAGGTCATGTGTTGAGCAAAGGTACTGACATTCTTTGCAGACACAAACGGCATGTGCTTCTCCTTGACTGCTCCCTCTAGTTCACAGCAGCCTTACAGGACTGAGGTTGTGTTTCGTAGCACTGAGGGATTTAGGACTGGAGCTCGGTTGGAATCGGATGTTTGTGTGGTGCTGGGATGATGTTTACATTTTGTCCAATAAATTTAACACTACATAAACATAATCTATGAAAGTGTGTCACAAGTTGCTGTTTTGTTTTGTGTAGTGAAAACTTCCTGGCCGTTCTTCTCATGTTCAGACTAATTAACCTCATTCACTGGTATGCTATGCAGCCACAAGATTCCAATGCCCCTGGCATTAATGTGTTGTTTGAAACCGTAACTCATCTCAGAAGGGTTTTCATCAGCCACATGAACAGCATAGCTGCCCCCATTAGGACACAAGAACATTAGTCAAGTCCAACATTGATGTTGTGTGATAAAATCCATCAAAAGACTTCAAACACACATTAAAAAAGAACAAGTAATTTCAAAATTGGGACCAAAAGTGTGTGGACACGCTGGATACTGGTCCTCAGATACAGTTTCCCCTCAGCTCGCACCAGGATTACACCGTCAGTGACTAAACAAAGAGCTTGAAAATGAATTGTTGAGTCTTCATCTTGATCACACGTGGCCTGATCTCTGATTTTAAAGAGTTATTTGTAGTGCAGAGCTGTGAGCTGTAGCTTGTTTATCTGACACCGAGTAACCTTTAATTATCAAGGTTATATTTTGATAACTTTAAAGCAACTGTTGGCAGCAGTAGCCTGATTTAATACATCAAATCCCAGGTGAATTTGTTCTGCGTTCTCGCTCTGGAATAGAAAACTATTCCAAAGCCGATACTTGTAACAGCTATGGCTGGAAGACATTTGTGAAATGCAGCACGTAATCTGTGACTGTCCTTTTTGTTTTTGTGTAATCAAAATTAGGAATTTAAAGCAAGATAAGCTAAGTATTATTAGAATTACTGATAGCAAGTCTGTGAATAAGTGGAGCATTGTCTTTGTAGCCTTTTGCCTGTGGCCTTGTACATGTTCTTCTGTCTGAGTTACCATAAAAAAAAACCCCACTGATCTTTGATTTTGAAGTTTTTAAGCAGTCCATCTGATACAGGATGTTTGAGGCTAATACGGATATTTGTGAGTTAAAAAGATTTAATAAAAGCTTCACAGTTCATATTGGTTTAATAACATCTTTACCATTTGTTTGCAACTAAGCTAATAAGAAGTGGGAGAATACAGTGTAAAAATAAGTTCTGAAGACGCTGGTTTGAAATAACCACAGTCATATCCTTGGCATTTGTGTTCTTCTGTTCTGTATTTACTTTTTTTTCTACAAAGTTTAGATTATTTATGCTCTGATACAAGGTTTTATCCATATTGCCCCTCATGAATTGATCGAGTTACGTGCTCACCAGGGTAATGAATCATGTCGTATGAATCAGTCCATATTTTTGTCATAATTCACAAATAACCACATTGAGCCAATCCTTGTTGAAAATGTGTATGTTAAAAAGCAACTAGTGACCCAGATCTCAGTGCTATGATGAAGGCCCCGTGAATCACCCAGTTTAATAATAAGTAGGCAGTTTTTTTTAAACTTACTGATCTAGTTAAAATGCTAAGTAAGTGTTGGTTTTTAAGTCTTAAATGCTGTTGCGCCTGTTAGTGAGTATCTGAGATTCAGACAGACTGACTTGTTTTACCTCAGTTTCTATCACTCTCCCTCTTTGCCGTCTTTGAATCCTTTGACAGCCGAGCTCTGTATCTTTTGCCAGGTAGAACTTCCACACTTATTCCAGTTGTTCCTTTAACCAGAAACCCAGCCTTTATTTTTGTAAAAGATTTTGGACACACTGTTATAGCGAAAGTGAGGCTTATAGCAAACCAGTTTAAGACTTTACATTGTGCATTCAACATTTACATCATAATGATAAATTATAGCAAAAAAAACAAACAAACAAACAAACTTGTGTATTGCCACTTGAAATGATCAAATAATGTGTTTCTCAAGCTCAAAAACCACTCATGGACCAGTTGGTCTAAGTGATGCTGGACATGCTGGTTTGCATACACTCTAGAAAAAGATTCAATGTTAAGACACAATTTTCTGGCTGTTTATACTCTCAATATACCAGAAGTGAAACAACACCCAATCGATTATCAATGCAGTTGATGTACAGAGAGTCTTGAAACTCAGTCAGCACAAGTGTGTAAGTTGGTTCTGTCCTGGGCCTGTTTGAAGAAACTGCATTCAGCTATCAAGATATGAAAATGGGTTTTACTTGCATTATTTATCCAGATGACTCTGAAAGCCTGCTTTCAGGACCAGTTTTGAGACGTCAAGGGCAACATCAGATTTGCATACTTTTAGATATTCTGCGTGTAGTTTTCTTTTCATGATAAAAGAAAGTCAAATATGATGTCTTTAGTTCCACACTGTAGAGTACAAGAGGTAGGGTTGTACTTTATTTGGTCAGCTCTGGGTTAAAGTGTGCTGAAGATTACAAAAGATATAGTTGCTAGCCTGGTGAAGTGGACTGCACTGAGTCCTGAGTGGTACAGTAGAAATCAGAGACCCAGCTCCTACATCCAGCCTCTTTGTCCATTGGACTTTGCTTATCTACTGTACTTGCAACTCATGACACACAAAGATGCAGATGATGAGCAAAATATAGGAATTACATGACCTTGAAGCTTTATGCAACAAGATGCCCAGAACCAGACCAGACCAGACCAGACCTGACCAAAGAAGATGGGCTGCTGGCCAGTTAAGATAAGTTATAAACCTTTGGAGTTAGTTTCAAATATATATGTAAGAGGTGGATTTGGAAAACCTTGCCAGGATTCTGAATAAGAGGAGTTAGAAGAATTTCATTCACAATTATTCATATAGTGCCAGTTTATAACATGAGTATTGTCAGGGTACTTCATATATTAAGGTGAAGACTGTATAATATTATCTTTTCAAGTTAAATCCCATGAATCCAACAACTCCCTTTCAGCAGCACTTGGTGATCGTGGTAAGAAAAAAAACTCAGGTTTAACAAGAAGAAACCTCCAGCAGGGCACAACTTGGGGATGGTGGCCATCTGACCAACATTGTCATTTGGTCACACCTTCCACCTGGTCACAGGTGAAACACCTCACTAGCTGAACAGTTGCTTATTGATAGACTCCACATTTACAGATGGTCCTTAAACACCTCACATTGGAGACTGTGGTATACCCTGCTAGGGGGCTGCAGTGTGACCATTATGTGAGCAAAATTACTTTGAAAAGAGTGAAATAAAGTGTCCTAAAGTCAAATTTGCCCAAGGTGAAATTGAGTTATTTTATCCACATTCACTGTTTTCTATGAGCGGAGAAAACAGTGCACGTTGGT